CTTCCAATTAAAGAAGGGGACATCCATTAGTGATCACATGAACCACTACACGAAGCTACTTGCAGATTTGGCGAATGTAGATGTCATTGTTAAAGATGAGGATAAAGCATTGTTGTTATTGAGTTCCTTACCCGATGAGGATTATGACATCCATTAGTGATCACATGAACCACTACACGAAGCTACTTGCAGATTTGGCGAATGTAGATGTCAAGGTTGAAGACGAGGACAAGGCATTGTTGTTATTGAGTTCCTTGCCCGACGAGGAATATGAGACCTTCGTCCTCACTCTTATTAATGGGAAGACATCTCTTTCGTATAGTGAGGTCACCGCAGCCCTTGTGAACTATCAACTTCGAAAGAAGGACAATGAGACTTCCATCGAGCCGGTTGCAGGTGCATTGGTTGCAAGAGCTAGAAGTCCAAACCGTGGAAGAAGGTCGCAGTCTAGAGTGGGGCATCCTGCAGTTGGTAGGAATCAGTGTGCCTTTTGTAGAGAGGATGGACATTGGAAAGCCGAATGCCCAAAATTACAAGCTGTGAAGAATAAAGGGAAAGCTATTCAAGCTTCAGAGGTGAATATTGCCAAGGATAGTGGCGATGTTTCTGATTCAGATTCTTCGGGCTATTCGTGCTCAGCTCTTCCGTCAGTTGATGTAGCCGACTCCACCGAGTGGATGTTGGATTCTGGTGCTACTTACCACATATGCCCTAGAAGGGATTGGTTCTCCAGCTTTCAGGAGTTGGAAAGAGGGGATGCTGTTCTCATGGGTAATGATCACAGATGCCCTATTGGTGGTATTGGTACCGTTCAGATTCGGATGAGTGACGGGATGATCCGGGAGTTGGCTGATGTGAGGTTCGTTCCTCAACTGAGGAAGAACATCATTTCACTTGGGGTATTGGAGGCATCAGGCTATAGGGTGATCTTGGCGGATTCTCGCTTGAAGGTCACATCGGGGTCCATAATTGTGATGAAGGGAGTCAGGCGGAGTAACTTGTATTATCTACTTGGGAGCACGGTAGTTGATAGGGCGCTGACTACTTCTATGGCTAGACTGTGGCATTGTTTGGTGCTGGGATATATTGTTGGTTATACCGTGCACAGATTGTTGAGGAGTGCTATGACCTGCAGATTGAAGTCCTGTGAGCACATTGGTATGAGCGAGAAGACCGAGGTGGAGTTCAGCACTTCTATACATCGATCGAGGGGTCTTATTGGAGGTGTTCAGTCAGGCATTGGGGGGCTTTCCGAGGAGGCATCATCGGGAGGTAATCGTTATTTTGTTTCCTATGTTGGGGATTGTACTAGGCATATTTGGGTTGCAACCAAGTCCCGTTGGTATAAAGACCTAGTAGTCCGCAACAGTTGGAGGAGGTGTATGGGCAGAAAGGTTACCAGTCGTACTTATTCTAGTAGGAGTCCTTTCTTGCATTGGTGCCGAGCTCACGGCAGTTGGAGACACTTCAGAGGGAAGGAGACAGTGGGGCGACGTGATGAGATGGCGGATTTAGTGAGCCGTTCTTTTCTGGAGGAGGATCGGTATTGGTTGTCGAGCAGTGGATCTGGTATTCAGGCTTCGACAGGTTTGGGTCATCTTATGTGGTTGCCGACTGCTGCGTGTAGAGTTGTTAGATCTGGTAGAGCTGCTTCAGGTTTTGGTCGGCGTCGGATATTTGGCTACCCAGCACTTGGTCACATCGTGGATGTGAGATTGGATCCGTTGCGCAGTGGGATTTAGGGTTCATTTGGCTATCAGTTAGGAGCTTCTGAGTTTGGTCTGAGCAGGTTTGTCACTTTGGACCTCGGCAGGTGGAGAGTATTGATCAGGTCAGAGGGATATCGCAGCGGGTGGAGGTTGATGCTACTCCACATTGGGTGGGGATTTCTCCACGTACTCCAGGTCATTCTGCATTGGTTGGGATTCCAGCTGAGGTGGCACAGCGTGGGAGTCATTTATTTATGGGTGCAGATGATGAGGTAGTTGATTTGGATGCAGCTGATGGATATGTTTTGGATACGGCCATTGTTACATCTCAGGTGGAGGTGTTTGGATCGCTTCAGTTTGAGGTCGTTGATGATGCTATCAGCCGCAGGTTGGATTGAGGGCCTTTGGAGGCCCATATGGTGAACTACGTGAATGCTTGATTCCTTGGGCAAGAGGATACGTAGGCAGTCTTTATGATGTAGCCGATTTGGTGAGCGACATCGACATTTGGGGTGAGTGTTCGCACTCCCATTTGGGTCTCAGCAAGTGAGGCATTTGGTGTAGTCGGTGTAGGCTCAGTTGTTTGGTGAGTAGACACAGTTGGTTTGGGGTTGAGTGTTCGCACTCCCGTTTGGATCTCGACGTGTTGTGATTGGAGTCCGTTGTCATGAGTCCGTTGCCATGGCGTACTGGGTGCAACAGTTGAGGTATTGGTTTGATCGGTGTCGGCTCAGTTTGGTAGAATCTTCGCCGAGGTGGAGATTTGAAGAGATGGTGCTCAGGATCAGGTTTTCAGGCAAACAGGTTGGCGGTCGACCGGTGCGGTCGACCGCATTCGTGCACAGGAGTTTCTGGGCATCAGGATTGGTGGCGGTCGACCGACACAGTCGACCGAAGATGGTAGCGGTCGACCGACGCGGTCGACCGCCGAACTCTCTGGACTTTTGGGCTTGCTGCTGGATGGAGGGCGGTCGACCGACCCGGTCGACCGCGATGGATCGCGGTCGACCGCACCGGTCGACCGTCGCTGCGGTTTTGAGCTGGGCCTGTTTTCAGACCCGCTTCGTTTTGGATTTGTATAAATACCCTTTGGGTGTTTTTTAGGGTGAGAGCAAGGACAAATTTGAGCAGATTGAGAGAGTTTTCTTTGGGCTTCTTCTCTAGGAGCAATTGGAGAGATTGAGAGTTGATAGTTGAGGGTTTATGAGAGATTTGTAACCCTAGTTTGATCATCTTAATTTCTAATAGTGACCCCCCCCACCTCCTTGCCCCGTGGATGTAGGCAACTTGCCGAACCACGTAAAATCTGGTGTTTGATTGTTTGTGCTGTTGATTTTGGTTGGTTGTTTATCTTTCTTGGCGATTGTTTTGGTTTCTCGAGGCACAACATTATCAAAGTGTGTGAACCCATCCGACTTTTTCGACCCACGATGAAGTCAAATTAAACTTGAATCCACTACCTAAAGAAAGAGATCAACAACAACAATCCTCAATCCTCGTCCTCTCCCCACCATGCACATATCCACCGGCCACCGCTTATACTGTTCCTCGTGACACCGCAACTCAATATGGCATCGACGAAGCCCGATATTGCGTGATGCCCAAAAGTCCATTTCTCAACCTTTTGGCTGTGGGCCCCCCACCACAGTGGCTGG